CCAGGCAGAGGGAGATAGAGGGATGAATAGGCTAAATACAGAGGACTTGGGGGCACTGAAAATATCTATATGATACCAGAATAGTAAATGTATATCATCATGCACTTGACAAAACACATAGGTTATAACACCAAGAGTGATCCTTAGTGTAAACTATGGACTCTAGGTGATGATGATGTCAATACAGGTTAATCAATTATAGCAATTGATGGGCATGTTGATAATGGAGAGACTATGTATGTGTGGGGGCAGAGGACATATAAAAAATCTATACCTTAAGTTCAGTATTTCTATAAACCTAAAACTGCTCTAAAAAATAAAATCTATGAACACACAAACAAAAAATAGGCAGTCAACTGGGCATGGCCCAACAGGCTATATATATAGTTCAATGACCTGCCTTTAGAGTATGTTAATCCTGGGTCAGGAATTAGAAATGTTCTCAGGCTTATGAGATCCACAAACCTCTTCTTTCCAGCCTGGGGAATCTCACTTTAATCGTAGGAAAATCTTCCTCTCTCCTGTTACTTTTCTCTTACAGATACTCCATCTCTCCTCCATTTCCAGGAAACCAGTCTTAGTCTCCTCAGATGACTTCAGCTTTGGAAATTCTCATGGGAAAGGACAGTACCCTGGCCATTTCTGTTTTGCATGATATGATTGTGGTATAGTCACTGCAGCTCTCTGTTCTCATGCCAACATTGGTAATAATAATGGTACCCGTTTTATAAGGTGCTATGAGAATTAAAGTAGTTCCCATTTAAAAAGTAGCAAAGTCCTTACCATTCAGAAGATATTTAATAAATTTTAGCTACTATTTTTACATTTATGCTGTTCCATAAACCTTCTCCGAACAATGGTAGCATCTAATCTTTTAATTACATAAAAGAAAAGGGGAAAATACAAAGAGGAGAAATAGATTTTAAAAACCTCAAAATAGGGGATCCCTGGGTGGCTCAGTGATTTTCCTCCTGCCTTTGGTCCAGGGTACTATCCTGGAGTCCCGGGATCGAGTCCTGTGTCAGGCTCCCGACAGGAAGCCCACTTCTCCCTCTGCCTGTGTCTCTGCCTCTCTCTCTCTCTCTCTCTCTCTCTCTCTCTCTCTATGTCTATCATGACTGAATAAATAAAATCTTTAAAAAAATAAAAAATAAATAAATAAAAACCTCAAAAGATTATCCTGCCACAGAGAGTTGACCAAACAAAGCCTTGACTACAATGGTGGCTAGAAAGTGGTTTAAGATATTTGAGTCACTGTAACAATAAGATCAAAAACACACAATCTTTGGAGTGCCCGAGTGACTCAGTCAACTAAGCAACCAAGTCTTGATTTTGGCTCAGGTCATGATCTCAGGGTTGTGAGACAGAGCCCCGCATCAGTCTAAGCAAGGAATCTGCTTCTCTCTCTCTCTCTCTCTCTCTCTCTCTCTCTCTCTGCCCCCCCTTCTCCATTGGCCATCCCTCCTCTCTCTCCTTTCCTCTCTAAAACAACAACAACAGACACACAATCTCTAAGCAATTTATCAAAACTCTCATGTTTGCCTGTGGACCAAGAGAGGGAATTTGGAGACAATACAGAGAAATTTGACAATAAGGCAGTAATACCAGCCACATCTTCAGGGAGTGGACTAAGAGTTAACACGACCTTCCACATCACCTTTAGGAAAACATAACTGGATTCAACAAAGCAAAGGCGGGTGAATATAATTTTTATTATCGCTTTTTTATCACTCTTTTATTATCAAGAGCCATACAGCTGGGCACTAAATCCCACCCAAACAGGCTATGGGCCATACGTCTTTCTTGAAACAAAAGTTTATTTCAACAAAAAGTGAGCACATATATAATCCTGGCTTTTCCTATTTGTTCACTGAGAAATAAACCCTAATTTCCTGACCTAGGAAATCAAGTATATGACACTGCACATTAAAACCCAGTTTTCTGCATGTTGATGAAATTTAATTTGAAAATGTTGACATCCATGATCACTTCCATACACACTAAGTGTTGGCAGTTCTATATACAAATGGCTAATTCATACGATGTCTCTTAATCTCATGTTATCCTTATCTTTTAGTTTAAGTATTTTTAACTTACTATTGATTAAATGGCTTTAATTGCAAATAATGCACATGGGTCTTTGAACAACATAGGTATGAACTTCATGGATACACCTATATGAGAATTTTTTTCAATAAATATATTGGAAGATTTTTAAGAATGAATAAATTCATGGACAAACCATGTAGCCTAGAAATACTGAAAAAAATTAAGATAAAGTTAGGTGCATCATGAATGCATAAAGTACAGGTAGATACTACTCTATCATTTACACCATAAAACATAGACAAATTTATTATAAAAAGTTAAAATTTATCAAAAGTCATTCAGACAAACATTTACAGACCATACTTGGTGCCATTCATAGGTCAGGAGAAATGTAAACAAATATGAATGATGAATGAAATCAAACTGCATAAAATTAACTACAGTACATGCTGTACTACTGTAATAATTTCATAGCTACTTCCTGTTGCTATTGCAGAGAGCTCAAGTGTTGCAAGGATCTGCTTAAAAAGCCATGTGACACTAATCATCTCCGCCTGAGCAGTTCATCTCTCCAGTCAATTGCACATGGCAGTAAGAAGTGATCTCTCCTGGTTCTGCCTATTAGCAGTTAAATTTTGGGGGAGTCAAAATTTATACATGGATTTTCAACTACACTGGGAATGGAGAGGCAGCACCCCTAAACCCTGCTTTGTTCAAGGATCAACTGTACTTACTCCATATCACACAATGTCTTATATATACATTTCATATCTAAAAATTGCCCGGCATAAGCTTAAGATTGAAATCAGGAAAATAAAATTCGTATTCATATTATTACCAAGATACAACCAAATATATTTTAACACATTGGACAATTTAAGATAGTTTCAGTTAACCATCTTTTAAATATCTAAATTAAACCTTTCTGCCTATTCAATCCTTCATTTTACTAACAAAGCATTGTGGGGGTACTTATTGGGTAGCAATGGTGAAAATATCTGGTCTCTCCCTGCATGGCATCTCTCAAACTTTTAGCTTTTGGAACATTAAATTTTCAATTATAAGTTCAGTCTTATCTCAGATGCAGGAACCAATTCTGTACCATAAACTCAGAGCCCCGATGTTTTATTGTCACATCAACCTATGCATGGCTGTTCATAGTAGCACCTAGACTTTCTTCTTTTTACCTGAACATCTATTTGGATTCTTGAATTCCAAATATAATAATTGGTTCCTTACCTTTGGCTTAGACATCTAAAATAGGGTCTTGACTCCCTTCCAAAACCTTTTCTCCTGACCTGTCCACCTCACTAGCTAAGATTTTTGTTTCGTCTAAAACTCAGCTTCAGGTCTTTCTTATTAGGTCACTACTTCACCTGTCCAGGACTGTAGAGACTTCTTTTCTGCCCCTACCTTATCCTATTTGACACATCTACTCCCAACTAAGCCTCAGTTCTGATAAGTTGCAGGACGCAGTTCAGACGTTAGTATACATCATGGATATACAAACTGCCGTGGGTAGGAAACAATACATGTATTAATTCAGGATTTGTTTGCACTTACACTGTCAGGAATAAATGTTAAAATAAAATGCTTGCTAATGAACATCCACAATATTAAAAGAATGGAAATGACTTTGAATTTCCTCAAATTTGCAAGTTAAGATACTTTCACACAAACTAGCCCAGATTATGGTCAATACTCAATGATCTTGAATGTGTGTGATCGTTATTTAATTTATTTAAGGAACTGTTGAGATTTTTGATGATACCTGTGGTATCCATATTGACTGTTGGTATTTCCCTCCATTAATAGCTATTACTTACCCCACTCAGCTTCAAGTAAATGCACTGATCCATTTATGTTCCCAGAGTGGTATTCAAATTGTTCTAAAATAGCACGGGCATTAACCAATTAGAATGGAGGCTAGACATAACTTTGAGATCCAATAACAATTTTTTCCTCCTCATACCATGTTCCAATTGGGTGTTCTGTGGAATCCTTCCTGTGATTCACAAAGTTAGGATTCACCTTCTAGCAATTTCTCTTAACCATCTGCATCCAGGCAAGAGATGAAGAAAAAAGTAAAAACATGAGAAAGAAATACTTGCTCTGAACCACCCTGCCCCGGAGGTGATACACATTACTTCCACACATATTCCATAAGCAAAAAGTCATATGCCCCACCAAAATGCAAGAGGCATAAGAGGTACAGCTAGGAAGTATATTGAATGAGCACAAACCACTGTCTCCATCACATATACATTATATTAAAAGGTAAAAAGTGCCATGGAGAAAAAATGAGCAAAAGTAAAAAGCACGTTGAGTGTTGAGAAAGGGGTCACAAATTTTAAAAAACTCACTCAGAGCAAGCTGCATTAAACCAGTGACAATGGAGCAAAGGCTCAAAAGGGAATATGGATAGATCCATACATGTATCTGGGGAAAGAGCATTTCTGGAAAAACTCAGTTCAAAATCCAAGATGTGGGATAGTACCTGGTAGGTCCAAGGAAAAGTAAGAAGGCTGTCACGGTTAGACCAGAGTATTTGCAGGGAGGCCTGAGAACTCTGAGAAGGGGTGGGAGCAGCCAGTAGATTTAGATAAGCTCTTATAGGCTAAATGTCTGTGTCCCCCTCTCCCCAGTGTTGAAGCCCTAACTCCCAATGTAATGGTATTTATTTATTTATTTATTTATTTATTTATTTATTTATTTTATTTTTTATAAAACTCTAAATTTATTCAAAGTGTTAAAAGATTTCACTCTCCCCTCCAAAATACTTTACATTTTAAAAAATCAAAACAGTTTTCTATTTTCTCAGCCACTGTACAAGCTGCTGCTTCCCTTCCTGGGCACCATACTCTGGCCCTCTGACCCCCTTCCCCTCCCTCCCTTCACTTTCAATATTGCTATAAGTTTGTTTATAAAACTTTCCTTCCCCTTCCCAGATGTAGCTTCCTTTCCAGACTTCAGGCCCTTGGCTGCAGGTAAGGCAGGTTGGATGGGCAGGATACTCAGGCAATACCTGAAGGGCAGAATGCTTTGTGCTTCTGGGATAAAGGCTGATTGGCTTTTTTCTTGATCAAGTGGAGGATCATTTTTTCTTCCCCATGAACATCTGTTGAGGGCCACATATTTGGCTTGGGGTTGCCCATGGCTGGGCAGCCCTGCCCCATCTCAGGTTTCCCCCAGGCATAGGTCCATGACAGCTGGGTCTGACCACCATACCATTTATATGCCTGTGGATTGTGAAGGACAGAGTGGCACATGGCTACAGTAGGGCCTGAAGATCCCCAACTTTTCAGAACGTGGGCACCAAATCCTGAGGGGAGGAATTTTTGGTTTTTGGCAGGCAAAACCAGGGTCAGCCAGGACCATGGGAGGTAGGGATGAGGGAGAAAGGTCTAACCACAGAGCTCTGGGGTGAGCAATGTTCCGGCTGCCGAAACCCCCTCCCCTCTTCCATTCCCTCCCACCTCCCCTTCATCCTGTAGGTTGCAGGATGATTCAGGAAAGGAGGATGGAAAAGAGGAAAAGGATTCTGTTCTGCTGATAGGAAAAAGGCAGGAGATGACAGCACTCGGGGCTGGGGGAGGCTTGCTGGAATCTGTAGTTTTCATAGCTTCTCAGTTCCAGGAGAGAGGGTGGGGGGCCAGGAGCCAGGCCCGCAGAGGGTTCATCAGCTCTGTTCCTTGTCCTTGACTAGGAAGACTGTGTGCTGGCCCCCACTGGACACAGATAAGACCACACGGTTCTCCAGCTGTTTGCCTGTCATCTCCACTGGGCTCCAGGTATCGTCTTCCTGCCCTGTGCCCAGCTGATAGTTGGTGCCCATGCCCCAGGCAAACACACGACCATCCTTGGTCACAGCATACCCCACGGAGGCCCCACAAGCCACTGAGGAGACAGCAGGGAGCCTGGAGATGAGGGTGGGTATGCTCTTCTCCTCAGCACCCTCCCCAAGGCCCAGCCGCCCATACTCAGCCCGGCCCAGGCTGTACGCTTTTCCTTCTGAATCCATGCAGACTGTATGATGCTGGCCACCAGAGAAGCCCACCCAGGACTTGGTAGAGTTCTTGAAGGATGTCAGGTTTTGGGGTACAAAGCAAGATTCTGTCCCTGGGGTTCCAAGCTGATGATAGTTGGAGAGGCCAAAACCATATACATGGCCCTCACAGGAGATGGCAAAGGTGAAGTAGGCACCACAGAAGGCATCTTGGAATCTGACATGACCCCGGCTTCCTCTGGATTTCAGCATCACACACTTGGGGACCAGGAGTCGTTCAAGGCCCTGACGGCCACCACGGTTGGCAAATAATTCAGGCACACGGCCCAGCTGGCCCTGCTCCCCGCAGCCCAAAGTGTAGAGGTCACCATCACCTGTCAGCATCACCAAGTGGTCATTTCCTGAGGCCACCTTCACTACAGGCACAGTCAGCTGCACTTGCAGAGGCACCATGCTCTTCTTCATGGGCTCCAAGAGTCCAATCACACCATTATTGTCCCGGAAGGAGCCCCAGAGGAAAACTCGACCATCCTCAGTGAGAGCTGCTGTGTGACTCTCTCCTGCTGACACCTGTACCACTTTCTCTTGCAGTTCCACTTTCCCGGGGACCATCTCGGAGCCCTCCACTGATGTGTCCCGTCCCAGGGCTCCTTCATCGTTGCAGCCGAAGGAGTAGACCTGGCCACTTTTGCTTAGACACACAGTATGCATGCCCCCAGCCTCAGCTTGCACGATGTCCTCCGGAATGGGCACCAGGGCTGGTTTCTTCCTCTCCATCACATTCTCGCCCAGCCCCAGCTGGCCCACGTCGCCCTGGCCCAGTGTCAGCACGATGCCTGGTTCTGTGCTGTGGGACCTATGGGAGACTGGAACACGACGGGAGGCAACGGCCCTCACTGCCTGGTTACGACGGTCCTTCACCTTCTTGCTTTTGGGGAGAGCATCTTCTGGGGGTGACCTTCTCTTAGCTATACATTTTGGTGGCATCTTCCTTTCCTTGCTGCAGGTTTGCCACAAGCAACTCCTCCGCTCGCCGGCCCCGCCGCCAACTGCTGTAATGGTATTTAAAGGTGGGGGCTTTAGGAGGTGATTAGGTTCAGATGAGGCCATGAAGGTGGAGCTCCCATGATGGAATTAGTGCCTCTCTAAGAAAAGGAAGATACCAGAGCTTCTCCTCTCTACCATGTGAAGCTATTGTAAGAAGATAGCTTTCGGCAAGCCAGGAAGAGGGCCCTCATTAAGAATCAAATCTGTTGGGGACACCTGGGTGACTCTGCTGGTTAAGGAACTCTTGGTTTTGGCTCAGGTCATGATAACAGGATCATGAGATCAAGCCCCATGTCAGGCCCCAAGCTCAGTATGTAGTTTGCTCATCCCTCTCTCTCTGTTCCTCCTCCTCCTCTCTCTCTCAAATAAATAAATAAAATATTAAAAAAAGAAAAAAATAATTGAATCTGTTGGTACCATAGTCTTATACTTCCTAGACTCCAGAACTGTGAGAAATAAATGTCTGTTGTTTAAGCCACTCAGTCTATGGTAGCTTGCTGTGACTAACCAAGCTAACTAATACATAATATATTGTAAGACCTTTTGGGTTGATTCTGAAGAAAATAGAAGTCTACTGGTGGAATGTGATTTGAAGAGAGGTATGGTGTGGGCTACATCTGGCAAGATTATTCAGACTGTCATTTGAGAAAACACTGATGGGGTAGGTATGGAACACGACAGACTAGTTAGGAAACTGTTACAACAATACTGATGAGGGATGATGGTAGACTGGACCATCAAAGATTGTAAGCAGATGCAAAATTCTGGATTTATTCTGAAGGTGGAGCCAATGTATATTCTAATAGGTTGGTATAAGCTGTCAGAGCTCAACAATTAGAAAGTGGGTGTCATCATTAACTCATAATGAGGGAGACCATGAGTGAAATAAATTTAGGGGAGGACAAGAGTAGAAATCCCTTTGTGGACATATTAATTTTGAAATATATATTAGACATCTAAATGGGGCTATTGAATAGTCAGCTGGATATATGATTCTAACATGAGGAGAGAGGTCTGGGTCTCAAAAGATATAAATCTGGCAAGTGTAAACATGTAGACGAAATTTAAGTCATGAGGCAGATGAGATCACCAACACAGTAAGGAGAGAGAGGAGAAAAGATCCAAGGTCTGAGGCCTGAGCCAAAGTAGCATTACAGGGTCAGGATAAATAAGACAAATCAGAAAAAGAAGAGAGAGAGAAGACGCAGTAGTCATGCAGAAAGAAATCAGAAGACTGTGGTATCCTGGGAGCTAAGTGGAGAGTTTTTGGACAGAGGAATTCTTGACTGTGGAAAATAGGTCCACTCTTAGTAATAGGCTCCTAATAGGTCAAGTAAGATGAGAGAGAGGAGTAGACTGAGCAACCTGAGCTATTTGTTGACCTTAATGAGAAAAATTTTGGTGGAATGTAGAGCAGCAAGAGCCTGAGAAGATTGAGTGTAGGGAGATATAAAGAGAGGAATCAGGGACCAAAACTGCAGATTACCATTTTGAGGACTTTTATTGCAAAGAGAAGCAAGGAAATCAGGCAGGAGAGAAGATTTTTATCTTAAGATGAGCTAACACCATGTTGTGTTCCCAATATGTATCAATGGGAAGCTGCTCGAGACTCCAATATAGTCACAGACTCTAGTTCACACATTTCTTTCAATGACAGTAATAGCAGCACAATTCTCACTCTATCCTTGATCAAATATAATTGTTTTGGCTTCCCTTCCAAGATTAACAGAGAAAAATGGATATTCAATCCTGATAACAACTGAACACTTTTTAAACATATTCTATGAACAAATGCCCTCTCCCAGTTCAACTTAAAGTTAGCACAATTATGACCTTGGTAAAGTGTTAAAAGTGTATTTATCCTTCTGTCCCTTCCTTCCAAAATATCGCGCACACTGTTCCTATCTCTTTTTAATGTGAATCATCAAATTGTTTCTCTCCTTATCCTTTTGCTTCAAAGCAAGAAAAGATAGATCTTCCAAAATTAGAAGAAACACACACATCTTCAGGAGATGAATCTTAATCTAAAATCTCTGGTCACCCTACACACCGACATCACTCTCACCATCAGCATCTCTACCTGCAGACTTAAGGCAACAGAGAACCCATTGCTATTTAGAAGCAAGATGCTAGGGGATCCCTGGGTGGTGCAGCGGTTTTGCGTCTGCCTTTGGCCCAGGGCGCGATCCTGGAGACCTGGGATCGAATCCCACGTCGGGCTCCCGGTGCATGGAGCCTGCTTGTGTCTCTGCCTCTCTCTCTCTCTCTCTCTCTGAGTTACTATCATAAATAATTTTAAAAAAAATTAGAAGCAAGATGCTTCTCAAAAAAGAAAAAAAAAAGCCTAGCTATTTCACAGCCTTCCTTAGAAAGAGTTCATGTGGCAACACTGTGACATACTGATCACGAGTTTCCATCAAACAGCACCGGACTGAAGGTCTCCAGAACTGGTATTAGTAGGAACAGGGGAAAAGGATAGAGGTCAGTTACTATTCACCTGTTTTCACACAGGTAAGCAAAATTTAACTTGGAGACATCTGTTGGATCCAGTATAGTAAAGAACTTGAGAGACTGAAACATATCACATAAATTTTAAAATATCCCTTTAAATAAACATTAAACACACTAACCGTTTTGTTAAGAATGGCACTTGGGTGCTATTTGATATTATTTTTGATTATTTCAGCAAGCGGTTACAAGTAAAATCAATTAAACCAGAACAGGAGGTAATTCAATGCCTTTCATTGATCAAACATTTAATCAGAGTATATAATGTAAGGTTCTGTGCTAGGGATACCAGGATGAAAAGCAGCATTTTTCTTACCTTTGAAGGGCTCACATTCCAACAGAGGAGACAAAAATTTAAATAATGAAACTAGAATGTAGAAAGTGTTCTAATGAAATATTAGAAAAAAGTACAAAAAGATATAGAAACAAAGAGTAACGGATTCCACTAAAGACAGTGGGGAAAACTAAAGACAAGAGTTAATATGTGAAAGCTAAAGTTGGCTTTCTAGGGCTTGGAGAGGGTTGGAGGAGGCCAGAAACACAGGTCAAACAATTTAAGGCAGGGGTGTCGTAGTTCACTCAGGCTGCTATAACAAAAATACAATAGATTAAACAGTTCAAACAACAAATATAAAATTTATCTCTCACAGTTCTGGAGGCTGAGAAGTCCAAGATCAAAGTGCCTGCAGATTTGGCGTCTGGGAGGGAGTTGACTACTTGGTTCACAGCGGGCTATCTTGCTGTGTCCTCACATGGCAAAAGGGTCCAGGAAACTGAGATCTCTTCTCTAAGGATAATAATCCCATTAATGATAGCTCTACCCTCATGACTTAATCACCTACCAAAGTCCTCATCTCCAAATACCATCAAATTAAACATATGAATTCTATGGGGACACAAACATTCAAGGGGTAACAGCAAAAACAAAGGGAGTAAATGTAACATGGTGCTTTCAAGAAGGAAACCTACAGTCATCAAAATCCTAGTAGGCCTATTTCTCAAAAACAAGGCAGAGCAAAAGAAAGACTTTTTCCCAGAAAGTATCTCTCACAACAGTCCCTGAAAGGTAGTGGTACTTGACAAGAGAGAGGGCAGACATGGAAGTGGCAAAGGAAGACGGTCACCTTATGGGAAAACTGTTAGAAAGAAAGAAGGAAATTTATCATCCTTGATTTTTCCCTTTTCCTCACTACCATCTTCCCTAGCATTATCTCAATCATCAGCAAGTCTAATAGTTACACCTTCAAAGTATATCTCAATTCTATCACTTCTCCCCATTTTCTCAGTCCAACACTTGAAGCCATCACCATCACTCCCCTGGATTACTATAATAGCTAACCGGTCTCCCCACCTCTTCTCTTTTCCCCCCAAATCCAGAGTTGTCATTTTAAACCATGAATCAGATTATATCGCTCCTGACTTAAAATCCTCCATAAGAATATAATTGCAGTTAGAATGAAAAGAAAAATGTCTATTATTGTCTAAGTCTCTTCAGTAAATGGTGTTGGGAAAATTGGACAGCCATGTGCAGAAGAAAGAAACTAGACTTTTCTCTTACACCATACAGAAAGATGAGCTCAAAATGGTTGAAAGTCTAAATGTTGTACTCATATGTGGAATATAAAGAAATAGTGAAAGGGACTTAAAGGAAAGGAGCAAAACTGAGTGGGGAAAAATTAGAGAGGAAGATAAACCTAACTGAGAAACAAAAGATTGTGGATGGAGAGGAGGTTGGGGGACTGGGGGACTTGGTGACAGGCACTAAGGATGGCACGTGATGGGATGAGTACTGGGTGTTATATGTTGGCAAATTGAATTTAAATTAAAATAAATAAATAAAAATAAATTTAAAACAAAACAAAATGTCTCTTACTGTCTATATTAGGCTCCTATCCACCATCATCATGTATTTAATTTCTTTGCCCAGAATCCTCTTTCCTAGGACATTAACATAGCCAGCTCTGTTGCTACTCGGTTTTTGATTTTTTTTAAGATTTTATTTATTTATTCATGAGAGACACAGAGAGAGAGAGAGAGAGAGAGAGAGAGAGAGAGAGAGAGAGAGAGAGGCAGAGACACAGGCAGAGGGAGAAGCAGGCTCCATGCAGGGAGCCTGACGTGGGACTCGATCCCGGGACTCCAGGATCATTTCCTGGGCTGAAGGCAGCGCTAAACCCCTGGGCCACCAGGGCTGCCTGCTACTCAGTTTTCAGCTCAAATGCCACCCAGGCAGGCCTTTTCTGTTCATACTATCGAAAGGGCTCCCTCTGTCCACTGTCTGCCCATTACTCTGTTCCATTTTCTCCAGAGCACTTATCACTACTTGAAATGATCATGTTTGGCTTATTTACTTGTTTATTGTCTCTGCTACCTGCAAACTTTTCTTCTGTAGCTTCCTTATCTCTCGACCCTGATAGAATTGTAAAGAATTA